TCTGTTGGCGAAAAAATTCATTTTGAAACCAATATTCATAAAAAATTCAAAAAATTGAACGTTGAAGCAATGTTGAATTCAATGAATCATAAATGAAATACACTGTCCTAGAAATTCCATTCGGAAGCAAATTTCTAATTTATTAGCACAAATATACTGAATATGTTGCGACGAAAGCACTTTCCCGCTTGTTCATCTTAGATAATAACTAACTGTATGCAGTACAGCTAGTTAGATTTTTTTTCAATAGCTCGGGACTATTATAAAAATTATATTACTATGGAAAACATGGGGACAATCTTGAAAAAAATGTGTATTCTAGGTGCATACCTTAACTGAATCCAATTGCAATTTAAAATATTCTTCCTTATGTCATCTAGGCCGAGTTCGATCATGAGATTGATTGCATCATCTGTTGTCGAAAAAATTTATTTTGAAACCAATATTCATCAAAAAGTCAAAAATTTGAACATTTGGGCACTGTTGAATTCAATGAATCATAGATAAAATACACCACCATAGAAATTCCATTCGGAAGCAAATGGAACTATGTTGTGACGAAAGCACTTTCCCACTTGTTTATCTAACACCCTTGGAAGACGTTTAAAAATTCATCGAAAAAATACAAAAAAAAATCTGTAGCAAAACGTCATTAGATTACATGTGAATTTTCCTCCCACAATTTAATCGGAAGCTATGAAGATTGAAACATAACAACGTCCCTTGCATTACCTCAAGTGAGTCCCAAAAATGGCACCTGCTGCGTAGCAATTACTATCACAACGGTATCCCACTGTTTCATTATTTAATGAAGAATAAAATGAAAATACCCGTGAGAAAAAGTGTAGGTTTATTCCCGCAATAAAACATAATACGTCACGCAACCAAGGTCGACGGACCGACGCAGTCGTGAAAATAAAGATGGAGAGAAATAATACATAACAGTCCTCTCAGGTAGTAACAAGAGTAGGCGTGAGCCCATCCCCATGAATTTTCCCCCGAATCGTTGAGGATTTTGTTTTGAGGGCGGAGGTGGTTGTTGTATTTTTCAATGAGGATTGCACCCAAAAAACGGACGCCCTCGTCAAAGGTCGTGAATTTTCCCCATCTCCCTTCGTCTCCCCACAGAAACGAGATAAAAGATGAAATAAACCCTCAGTGGGTCAGTTATCCTGCGCTGCACCGACTCATCCTTCGAATCCGTTGAGTACACAAGTGTCTGAGCCCCCGAATACGTCACCTCCCTCCGACAATTAGGAAGCCCTGTAAATCAAATTGCGAAAGGTGCAGAGGATTTACTGTTTATTCAACAACCATTGTAGAAAGGAAATCCCCAAGGGTTAAGAGTAATCCCCATGAAGAATGAAAACAATAACAGCAATTCATTACCAACTTATTAACGTTTATCTCATAATTGTGAACTCAAACAACGAATTATCGGTGAATTAATCATTCCGGAAAATAAAAAAAATCCGAGTTATCTGAAAGAGTCGACTTCAATGAAATAATTATAATGCCGGGGGCACTAAATTGAATTACAATCAAGTCAATAACATCTTGAAGATTTTCCGAATGAAAATCAACAAGTAACATTAATTCATTGCAAACATATTAACATTCATCTCTAAATAGCAAACTCAAATAACAAATTATCTGTGAATTAATCATTCCGAAAAAGCGAGGGTCATTAAATTGAATTAAAATCGAGTGAAGAAGATCTTGAAGATGTTCCGAATGAAAATCAACAAATGGAGTCACATTAATGCATTACCAACATATCAACATTCACCTCTTGATTCTGTGGTGAATTGCTAATCTAGGATAAGTAAATTTTTTTCAAAAATGCGTTTTCTAGTTGAATCACTTCCTATCAATTTATAAAAGCAATTTAATCAAAACAAATTTTCGAAAAAAATGCACCTATTCTAGTTTACCAATTCACACCAGAATTGTAAACCCAATCACCGAATAACCGATGATGTAATAAAAATCCGAGTAATCATAAAGCGCCGACTTGAATGAAATAACGACAATACAATGCCGTGGGCCATTAGATTGCCAAAAAATCAAGTGAATAAAATCTCAAAGATTTTCCGAATGAAAATCAACAAGTGCAATAATCTTAATTCACTACTAACATATTCAGTTTCACCTCTTAATTCTGTGGTCAATTGGAAAACTAGGATGAGAACGATTTTTTAGAAAATGCCATTTTCTTGTTAAATCATTTCCTGTCAATCT